TATCAGTATGGTATTAGAGAGTCTTCACCAAGAAGGGGTTGGGAAAAAAAAAATAAAATAAAAAAAAATAAATAAATAAATAAATAAATAAATAAAAAATTAAAAATTAAAAAAATAAAGGGGAGAAGTGGAAAAGCAGATACTCAGTCCCTAGTATAATTCGTCATTCTTTTTGGGGGCACAGTAGAATTCGAAAACAGTTTACCCCTTGGATACTCCTGCTTTCTTTCCCAGCGCCCCACTTACAGCGCTGGATTCGAACAAGAAATGTCCCACCATCAATTCTTGAAGTATTTCAAGTAGATCAAATGTTTGATTCAGGCATATCCAGTATCTATGGGAAATAATCGGAAGTAATATGAATGGAGGCCTGATTCCTCAAGCGCCGGACTCATCACGTGTGGGTGCCACAAGGCTGCATTCGCCGTTTGATCTCCAACCAATGTCTGGATCATCAGCCTATTATTCTTTCATCCTTATTTGTCAAGTCGTCAGACAAGCTGGCAACATGGTCATGGGCGCTTTTACTCGAAATAGCCAGGATGGCAGACTTTCTGCACGCGAGGCAGCCTTTGAATGCACAGCGCGCGTCCATGACACTCGCCCGAGCGATTCGCTCGAATGGATAGATGCCACTAAGTATTTCAAGCTCCAAATCCAGTGTTCTAACTTCTTCAAAGCTTGCGAAGGTGCCGTTCCAGTGCCCCATCCCGACGCCAACCTCGGTCTACATACCAAAGTCTGCCAATCACCCAAGGAGAGCGACGTGACCAGGATTTAAAGGCAGGCGGAAGGGTTGCGGACCTCACCTTCGTGGTGGTTACCAAAATTTTACCGATACCAAGCAACCTAGTTCGAACAGATACCGATGGTCGCAATCTACCACTAACTGGTGAAGGAGGTGAGTGTAAATGTGGAATAACGGTATATGGAATATTTGATACAGCGAGGGCTGACCTTACCGTTCGTACTAGCGAGCTTTTCCATGGACGATCGACGAGATATTTATCCGGAATTTTGTGTGATTTCTGGCCCTCAAGTATGCCTACGCCTTCAACGATCGGAAGCTCGGTGACAAGCCCGAATATTCTCACACTATCAGTGGGCTCGCCATCCCCGCAGTGACCATCACAAGCCTAGTGCACAATGAACAGCCACGATCAACTGTGACGGTTCCTGTGATGATTATTGAACTCGTTCGGAACCAAGAAAGCTCGAATCCTGGTTGCTTACTTTGCGTCCGACGAACTTATCATAAAAAAGACGTCGCTTCTTGACTTGGCTTTGAAGACGATACAGTGGCGGACGTCAATGTGAGGCTTCTCATGAGATACATGGCTTCGAGACTACAGATGACACTGCCACGGTTAGCCGCGTCGGATTCCTACAACGCAGAAAGCTCGCTAGTATTTTGAGACGGAAACAATATACACTCAATCTGAAAGACCCAGCACCACCGACTCCTTCGGAACACCCTTGGAGCAAATTCAGCCTCAGACCTTTACGCTCTATGCATGCAGGGTTACCTAAAGGGAGAAGCCAATTTTCCGTGATCACATATCCCGACCACCCCTTTTCACTGCGATGTTCACGCCCTCTAGACCTGAAGGGGAAGAGGTTGTCTCCAATCCGTCGTCAATACGACACTTGGGAACCCTCAATCAATCCACGGGCTTCATAATTTCGATGACCACGTTCATGCGTGACGCGTCCTCAATGGGGGATGTGAAACGGGACCAAATGATGGTATTGGCAGTTGCTCCGCTGCATTGAGCTCACTGTAGTTTCGAAAGGGCTAAGACAGGGACTTTTTGTCAATATTTCGTTAGCTGAAAAAGCTCCATTCATAATCCATGGTATCATATGCTACCACTAGCAGATATGGCTAGGCTGTCTCTTGTTACATAGAAGATCACAACTCTACTCTGTCATATCAAAGAATTTTTAACTAGGAGACGGCCACGACTGGCTATTTGGCGTGTAAACAAAACGTGGGCAGTCCAAACAGACGAAGGATTGCCTGTAGGTCCATATCCTTTAGATACATGTATTGGTGTGGAAGTTAGCTACGTATCGACCTCGACAGCCCGTATTGGTATAAACTGGGATAAATGCAGAGCAGACCAATGAGAGCGAGGCTTGGCGCGATCTCATTAGGGTGTTTCTCTCGCAGCGTCAACTCAGCCTTCATTTGCTTGCCACTGGTACTTGTGAGGTGTTGATTTATTGCTATTGGTTCGCTCTAACTATTTGTCTCTTTGTTTCCTTAAATTGCGTTTCCCCTACCTAGCCTGTCACATACATCAATGCTTCCCGTATATTCTATATCCGGAGGGAATGATTGGGAACCAACAGCATGACGGTCGTACTCATCACACAACAAATTGATGGCCTGACCCACAGCGTCACGGGGCGGCGGAGTTTGGATCACTCTTTGCCTAGTGCCGTCTGCCACCGGCAGAGAGTGGGGTGTCCCATCAGGGCGAAATATATTGGAAGCAGAAAGGCCGTCTTGAGAGGCATCAGCAAGCGACGTAGAAGAGAGCGTTTGCGTTACGGTAGCTCGCCGGCGATAATTGTGTTTCCATTGGCGACAGCGATCACATGTTTTAAACCGGGGAGACTGCCAGGGTCGGGCGCAAGCCGAGCAGACCGTACGTTGTATAGGTGAATGCAAAGTTGTAGACGGTGGCAGAGATTGTACAGTAGAAAGGGAGGTCGGCACCTCACCAGTACCAGTAGCAAGCAAACGACGACGGAGTCTTTGTCGGTGGGCCTTTTGGCGGCAGGCAGGACACGTCTTATATAGAGGTGACTGGGTAGGTCGTCGCGAGCAGCTAGAGCATAGCACGGTATTCGAAGCTGGGGACTCCATAAGAGTGGAATGGACGACTGTTAAAGTAGCAGGAAATTGTATTAGGTAGCAAGCACATGTAGACGAGGCTGCAGATTGAAGGAACTTCCTTTTTACCATACGATAGGGTCTGTGAAATATTTGACAGGCTAGGTAGGGGAAACGCAATTTAATGAAACAAAGAGGCGAATAGCTAGAGCGAACCAATAGCAATAAAACAAGGAGCCAATAAGGAACAGAAGAGATAATAGGGCGATAGAACTAGGATGAACCTAGGAATAAGAAAAAAAACAGGAACATAGAAAGTATAACACGTGAGGACACGCACCAGGTGCATTGACAAGTACCAGACCAATGAGATCGAGGCTTGGCGCGAAATGGGGGTGTGTCTCTCGCAGCGTCAACTCAGAACGCGATCTGTGCTGTATCTGGCCAATTGGAGATGCATTAACATCTATCAACATATACGCGAATTTAAATACCATTGCCCTTAGCCATCGAGAAAACTCTAGAGCCATGCTTGTCCCATTAATCCTTTCATAATTTGGGAAGGGAATGAACAAGTCATCCTCGTTCATAGCACTCATAATCCAGACAAACGTCAGTAAATCCGTCTGCGACATATCACCGTCGTAGCCATGCAAAGCGTGACAACAACACACATAGATGTCCTTCACAACGTCTGGTAACAATTCTGACATCTACTGAAACACTCAAATCCATTTGTCGCTGTAACTCTGGGTCAGGCGATTTAGGTGACTGACTCGCGGGTGTGAAATTGTTGCCTGCGAAATACCCTCGCCCCATTCTAAGAATGAGAAATCATCGGGGCGAAGCCCTACGCCTCGAAAGAGATGAGTTTTACCCCAGCCAAGCTAAATTTTTTTTACCAACCTTGTTCCGCTTCCCTCCTGCCAGGCTCTCTAGAGTTGGGTCTCGACGAATATCACCGGAAACATCGTCATGGCGTCTAGGATGCCACGTTCATCGACATAGTCGATAAGTCGTTCTAGATGTGAGTCCTGATTTTGTAATGCTTTTTGTCCTTCGGGTCCTCCCAGCACTAGTCAGACTTATATGGACATGAGCGGATATCACATCGCATGAGTTCATATACACATGTTCTTAAGTCGAAGGTTGTTCAGTAACTTCAGATTTTCCCATGTTTGGGCTGTTTGTTGCGTTTGCGTGAACTTTTGTAACAGTTCCAGGTTTCTAATTATAGGTCCTTGTCTCTACCTTCGAATCTACGAATCTATAAAAAGGGACTGGTATTATTACGTGTATGTACGAAACGTGTTATTTTCTATATCATGTGATTAGGGTTTGAAATAGAGTCTCTGTCTCCAATCATAGGCAATCCTGGGTGGGTCTGTACTTTAAATACTAGTTTTCTATTAATTTAATCCTAATTTTAATACCAGTTTTCTCTTTAGTTTTCACAGTAAATTAACCAGATCATGTTTAATATAATACGTACGAATTAAGGCAAAGTTACAAAAAAGGAGGTAGATTTAAGAAAGGAATAGGGTGAAATTAAATGCTGTACGAAGATGTAAAAGGGGCAGTGAGACAGTTATATAGGGGAAATTGGGGTTTGAGCTTTAAGGCCGTGTTAGACTGCCGTATAGAGGGTCTCATATTAAAGATATCAAGTCCCTAGTTGTATTAGAAAATACGAAATCTACGTTGGGCGGTCTGGGCCTGAGCAGACGAGTTCCTCTAATTAGAACATACTTATATCTGATTTCGTTTCTGTGACACAAGTCGTAGGTGTGTGGAGGTATAGCAGAATTTGAAAAGTATTGTACAGGTCGAACTTAGCTACTGTATCTTTATGTGGAATACATGGCCTCGAGCCTGCGATAGACCTAAGTTTAGAATAGCGTGTTCTAAGTTAGGCTACGGGAATCAATCTGAGAGGAGGATAGTCTTATTTGAACATTGTTGTACCGTGAACGCCTACATAAGGCCTCTACTAGCTTGCCTTTGAGCTATCACACACCTGAAGGCCCTCCGCATTGTACATAAAGTTACGATCGGATACATAATGAAAGAACCCACTAGTGCGAAGTCGCTTCTGGGGCAGCTGGTTCTCAGTCCCCAACGGTCTATTCTTCATTCATTCATCCCAGGTGCTACAAATATGGCTACATTTATGCAGTCCGTGAAAAGTAAAGGAACAACCCTTACTTACCTCGTGTACCTCATAGGCATCCTCACCGCGATGAGACCGCTTGCTGTCAATGTGACTTATTGGTTACAAAAGCACTTGAGTTAGTTCTCAGACCGAATCTTATTGCTCTAAGCTAACCTGAAGCAGCTTCGACTATACACATTCAGTCCTCAAACGAAACTTATGATATGTTGGCATCCTGGATCGCATCTCGGGGACTCGAAAATGCCGCTAGATCACTACTTGCAAAGGTGAATACTACGCGCGGTGTCGTTGAAGATAGATGTAGGGCAGTCAAAAGACCTCTGAAATACTTGCCTTTTAATGCAGGTTTCTGGTTCTGGTATAATAAACAACCGATCCTCTGTAGGATTATTCAGGAGGGTTATGGTTACTACAATGAGAAGATTTCGGTCACCTGCCTAGGCAGATCCTCAATTATTCTGAAAGACCTCTTGAAAGAGTGTCAGGATGAATACCTAAGTCAAATTGAAAACAGAACAACCATATTTGGCCACTGTGGCGTTCAGTGGAAGAAAGAGAAGGCAAAGGAAATCAGACCACTGTCAACTGTTATTCTGAGGGAGAGTGAGAAAAATCCGCTTATCAAAGACATGAAAGACTTCCTTGAACCACAGACGAGAAGTTGGTATTCTGAGCGCTCTATCCCATATCGACGTGGATACCTCTTGCACGGTCCACCTGGGACAGGCAAGTCTAGCTTTAGCTTCTCAGTTGCCGGGGAGCTGGGTATGGACATTTATGTCGTTAGCATCCCCAGTGTGGACGACGAATCGCTAAAAACTCTCTTTGAAGAGCTCCCGGATAATTGTGTAGTTTTACTGGAAGATATTGATGCCGTTGGGTCGGTCTATTGCCGGGATCCTGTGGCAAAAGAACCCAATACTGGTCTTGAACCGGGGACAGATAAGAAGGGGGTAACTCTCTCCGGGCTTTTGAACGTACTTGACGGCGTTGCTTCACAGGAAGACAGAGTTCTCATCATGACCACAAATCATATTGAGAAATTGGACCCAGCGCTTATCCGACCAGGTCGAGTTGACAAGAAGGTCAAATTTCAGCTGGCTGACAGGGATGTCATCATGCAAATATACCGTTTTATTTTCGGTCAGCCGACAGGGCGGATATCTAGGAAAATACCTCAAGCTACGTTCGATCCTTCGATTGAAAGACAAGCCATTGAGTTCGCGCGCAAGGTTCCAGAGGAGCGTATTAGCCCGGCCCAGATAATATCATATCTTTTGCAGCACAGACATGTGCCAAGTGTTGCGCTAGCGAATGTTGAGAAATGGGTAGAAGCTATGCGGGCAGAGTCCGAAAAGGCTAACGCTTAAAATATTTCTTGACTAACTAGAGCGAAAGAGAGAGGGCAAAGGATGGTGGTTTATAGCATTCCTTTTCGATGTGCATCAAAGCCAATAATAAAGTCATTTTCACATTGTGGGACACTAAATGCCCCTCTCTAGGCCACAGCTGAAGGAGTAGAAAAAAAGGAAAATACTCAACCTATAGCGAATTTCCTTCAGTAGCTTCTAGGTTTACCGTGCGAAGGATAATTGGCCCAAGGGAGTTTCTTCCAAATACATCACACCATATCAAGCTAGTCGGATTGTTCCGTTGAAAATTATCTTCGAAGGTTTGTAAAAGGCCTACAGGTCGTAGATTACCAACTAGCCTGAGCGGAATTATCAGTACGCAATTACTTCTTATATATATTGCGTATGTGGAGGATGGGCAAGACATGTGATGAGGAGGTAGTTGAATATCCTATGCGATCCGCTGGTGAACTCAAGTTGTTCCTCCTTTCTATATTTGCTGTACATTCTCTCGGCTGAAAATCCCGCCATAGGATGGCTCCGTAATAGATGATGTAACCACATCACATTTTGTACTCGCCTAAGATTGCTTGAATGGAGAGACTATCTTCCATAGTTAGAAAAGTGGGGATGAGACCAACATGCCAATGGGCATATAAAAGTGTTGGACGTGCTACGGTAGAGAGTGGACCTGTCGTAGTTACACGCTAAACATACCCTTTCTGTCATTCATATTCCTACTAACTGCATCGGGAAACCCATGTAATGAGCCCGCTATGCGTCTAAAATAGCCATCTGGCGCTAGGAATTTGTATCTCTCAACAGAAATCACCAATCACCCACGGCTCGAGACGGGTCCTGCGGCGTGCTACTGGCAGACTTACTACTCTTAATGACATCGGAATTGGTTGGCATTCCGGTAGTAAAGGGTTTCTCGTCAAAGAGCAGCTATGGGCATACCAAATGCAAAGAAAAAATGCCGAGGAGACACTTGAACTGGCTATAGCTACAGATAGGAGACTTTTCGGCGCTCTATGCCGGAACTGACCTGTCGGGTATTAGTTCCATGCCCTTGCCGTGAAGGAGATGGTCACTGTTGACCAATGATAAATAACCCAAAACCACCCCCACTGATTGGTATTGATGCTTTTTAGCTCTCATGTAAGGAAAGTCCTCTGTCCATATGTTGGTCTTTTCGAGGAATGTGACACCCCAGCTTTTCAGCCACAGCACTGAGTAGCATGAACATATGAGAGGAAGTAATTTGCGCTGGCACTGCAACGCTCAGACACACGGCCTGTGACGATCCACCTCGAGAGACCAATATCTCGCTTCCATGAAGGAGGACCTATAAGCTTAGATGAATTGCAACTTGATATTCCCACCGATAAAAGCGCTCATAAGACGAGTCGCGTGTTTGACTCATATCTAATATGTGAAAAAGAAGATGTCAGCGATGACAGCCTTGTAGCTATGTAACATTGCTTGCTGTGGAATCCCTTCCTTCATAACAGTCTGATCATGATGCTTATCAGCGATCAGACACCTCCGATCCTAGTTGTAGTAAACTAATCCCAACTTCAGAGATCAACGTGCTGGTTCCGACCAAACCAGCCTTGATACGTCCGGCTTGGGTAGCGAAGGACGAGATTCGCAATTGGATTCCGATGTGAATGATTCAGACTCCTTCGTTGACAAATCAGAGTTTAATGTTCACGTACATAGTAGCTTGTCCGAAAGATAGAAATATAACATATTAGATGTTTGATTCGCTTTCAGGAAATGAATTTTGCATTTGAACAGCAGCTACGAGAAGGAACGACAGCAATCTGATCCCAACCAATGTACTCTCGCGCGCTCTTTCTTCCCTGCGTCTAGTTTTCGTAGCAATTCTGTTAGGATATGTCGGCCAGTACTACATTAGGTCCATTTAGTTTACAATTCTCATTACCAAAGTGTAGGGTTTAAAGAATCGACTAGAGAAGATAAATAGCGGGGGTAGATTAATCGCAAGACAGTAACGAGGTACACAAACGAAGTTCATCTGTCCACGTTTATTCTCCCTGCCAATCGCACTTGGTATGTCAACCCAGAAGTAGCTGCTGCAATTTAACTGAGACTAGTCTGAGTTAGATGACGTTTATCATCCGATTGCCTCAGGGACTGTCATTGGCGAGTTCAATCTAAACGTGATAACCCAAGACTTTGGTCAAATCGGTACGCCTGGCGATATCGATAGAAGCGGTTTCACGGTTTTCGATGGAAAGTGGCGCCTCACTCTCGTTGACATGATCGGCAGTTTCCGTGGATGTCAAGAGCTGATCCCCCCGCTTGGCAATGTCCACATTCCATGCATTGGGATCTTCCGAGTTGATGGACACCAAAGGAAAGGCCGAGGCAGCCATGGCCAGGCTGATAAAGAGAGCGCGGAGTTGCATTCTAGACTTGAGAAAGGGAGTTCAATAAGCACGGATTGACACAAAGTACTCGAGGGAGAAGCACGCACTATGCCAATCGAGGTAAAAAGGAAGTGAAGGAATGTTGAGTAATGGAAGACTATGACCAAGTGATGGAAAAGGAGGGACTGGTGATGGGAAACCTCCGGGTTATAAGCATTTTCTCAAGGTAGACCACGAAAAATTGAAATGACATATTCAGCCGATTTTCTTTCGAGTAGTACATCCCATGTCATCATTGTGGGTCGGTATTTTGATTGTACAGTCCCTGCCGTGCAGTCCATAGTAGCTTTGAGACAAAGAGCCAAAGAGCCATTTCTCTTTGTCCATTTCAGGCTTGCGGAATCGTCGGGCTAAATCCCTTTCTATCATCCCGTCATGGGGCCATAGAAGTACTCGTTCAAATGGACGGTTGCGCTCATAAAAAGATTTCCCTTTACTTTCAAGCACATAGTGTGTGGTCCCTCCTTCAAATCCTTCACTCCACATCGTTTTTTTCCGCCAAACATTGGCTACAACAAGTTAAAACTTGTCTACATTACTTACATTTACTATCACGCCCTCTGAACTTGACTATGAGTCCTCCGCAGGTCTTCCAGCCCGTCTTAGGGATGCCTTTTAACCAGGGTGACGCTGCGTATATTGGTCTAGGACAGGAATCAGATGTTGAGTCGGAGGAAGATTATGAGAACAACACATCGCCATCAAAGCTGCTTATTCAAGCGTTGTCTCTAAATACTTGGCTACTCGCAACGATCGTATCCTTAGTTTTGTTCTTTGGCAAGTTCAGGCAGTTGCGATGTGATAATGGTATCAACATATGGAACATGCCCGATTCAGGTATGTGCTTCTAGATCTACGCTGCCGAGGGCGAGTACCATGCAGGAAAGACCTGACAGCTCGAGTTTGTGATAGATATGGCAGCACCATTGTTGAAATTCGAGAAAAGACGATTCACGCATGGGGTCAGGGACGATCCTGATGGCACACTTTATGCCTCAATCAATCCAAATGAGCTGCAGTATGCCGGCCGTCCCAACCACAAGATTGATGAGAACTGGAATGAGCTCATTGTCGGTAGGCATTTCCTCTGTCATTGATCACAGTGCACCGCTAATTTGTCTCTAGGTCGATATTTTCGATTAGAAGACTCTGAAGTATCACGACTCAACCGAGATCCCGAGCTTCCAGCACTGACGGAAATGCCTGCCAGTGAGCGGATATCTCAAGAGGGATTTTACGGAGGCCCTGACGTACTTCATAGTCTACACTGCTTGAACGCTATCCGGAAGCATTTAGACCCGGAATACTACGGCAACTCTATGACTCTCCCGCCAGAACTTCGTCGGATGCACATTGACCATTGTATTGATCATCTTCGACAATCAGTACTTTGCCATGGCGATCTCACACCGGTCACTATGAAGCCCGTCACCGCGAATACTTCCTTGCCGTACCCGGTCACATTTTATCTTGGGCAGACTGAGCGTGAACATACCTGCCGAAGTACGGAAGCCATATGGAACTGGGTCACTGCCCGTGGGCAACGTACGGGACGTATTGAGCCTCACCACGATATCGGACCATGATAGAAGAACTGGAAGAATCCTGCTGCTACGTCTGTCTCTCTCTCGCGTCTCACTACCCCACTCTCTGCCTTCCCCACCGACTTCCGGTCTTCCTCGCTCGATGGTCTTCTTTGACCCGGTCTAGGGCGTCCCGGTGCTGTCCCATTTGTCTGCTTGTCTTTGTCCCCGTTTCGACACCGCCCCCCCCCCCCCCCCCCCCCGGGTCGTCCTCACCCAGCAATTTCTCCCTCTTAATTCAGCACGATCCACAGCCGTGTCTCTCTACTAAGGATGTTCATTTGGAATCTTTGATGGTTTTGATACTGTTCAGAATAAGAACTGGTCTGGAGCGTACCGAGGTGCTTCGATCCGTGTTCTGCTTTGTAGGGAAAAGTATGTTATTTGGATATACACTATTGTGACGCCAGAGAAAACTTTATTAATATAGACAAACAGTACCTATGTTTCGATCTATTAACTTGGAGACACAAAAGTAAAATGTACAGATATAGACTTCTATGATCGTGGACGGCGAGAAGATTTGCTTCACTACGACGAGGATTCCTTTGACTACACCATTTCCAAAAAGGTGCAAAGCTAAATTTTACTAAACGACTGCCACAATAACTATCACTGCTGCCTTTCCCCTGCCGAAAGAACTATGTTATCTCAGCCGTGGCACCTCGCATACCTTCTTGCACTCTGTCCTCACCACAAGGTGATGTCCAATGGGTCAAATGCCAGGCTCCCAAAGCAGTACTTTGGACCAAAATACGCACTGTGAACCACACAAGGAGGGTCACCGACTCTGCGTACTTTTGCATCCCCCGCGTTCCATCGCTGGATCCTAAATCCGCTGCTTTCAAGCGCCTTCCGTCCAGCGCGACTAAATGCATTGAAGCTCCATCCTGGCAATGTGTTCGTAAACGCACACTTACTTACACGCCCAAACAGGTCTTCTGGACATAAGCAAAAAATATGGTCATTTCTCCAGAAATTCATGAGCGCCGAAACACCGATGAAATGGACATATAGTTGCTCGACCTTCCCCGTGTATGTCACCACAACTTGCACATAGCGTGACTTAGCTATATCTGCCGACTTGCTAAACCGATAGACCTGCACATGGTTACTAGGAACTCTGGAAAGTCTCGGATCGTACCTTGCAGCAGTGGAAATCCCACATGAGTGGCTCAAGCACAAACTCATACAGCTCTTGCGTCCGCAGATACTCTAAAAGTCGGCACGCATCGACGTTCCTGACGCATATTTCGACGTTTCGTACAACCTCCGCGACATCCGGCAGTAAGAACTTATGAACTGGGGCTCCAGACAATATTGCGCTGCTCGATCGAAGGATATCGAGTAGAACGTCGACCTGATCAAACCACTGCTTCAGGTCTTTCCCAAAGACACGCAAGCGATAATCTTTTTCCATCTGGGAAACAATGTGAGCTCGTTTCGAGCAGCACCCGAGGGATTGAACATCCCTGATTGACAACTGGAATGATAAACTTGCCCAGATTGGCCATTTAAAGATAAGCTGTTCAAAACTGACTGCCTGACGCTGCGATAGTAGCATTTCCGGTAACTTATAACACGGACTAAGAAACAAAACGTGCGTTTCAAGGAAAGATAGTTGCGAATTTCCTCCACTGCTGTCTCGCTGCAACGGCATATAGTGTAACTAGATAACAGCCCCACGTGGAGTTCGGCGGATGCGTCTGTTCAGGGGGCTTTTGCCTTTCTTTCCCCATCACCTTCTTATTTTCGTTATTTAATTTCCTTTTCTCTTTGTCTGTCTCTGAAAAGCCGGAATCCCAAATCCGTTAGTATTCTATTTGCCTCTTTTGGATTTTTCTTATTTTTTTCTGCCATTTTCCTTTCTTTGTTTTCCTATAGTTTTATGATTTTATAATTTCACTTTTTTTCCCAACCCGAATTTTTAATCTTTACCCCTCGCCTTGCTATGTAGAGTCTGTATACAAAAGGGCAGTGGACTCGCTTCTGTCGAGATGCACCCCCAGGTCTCTGGAACGACAGATGTGAGACATGTCCTTAGTAACAGCCAAAAGGTCCCTTATGGATCGCCAGCATCTCTTGTCCGTGATTGGTTCGCCGAAGGACTATCTTCACTGTGAGATATAAAATACGTGCATGACACTTGACACCTCCTGATGTTATCAAGTTACGACGCGGACTCACAGAAACGAGTCGGATGCTCTGATCCTCACCCTCTATGCGGTATTTGCGGTCTATCACTGCTTCAATAGAGGAAAGGTCTATCGACGGCCTCACAAAGGTATAATCAAAGCAAATCTCAGGATGACGTGAGCTAACGCACCGCAGCCCTAAAACCACACATAGTTTCCGGTACTCTTGAGCTTATCAATGTACTACAGTGACTTGCAATGTTCCTTAGCAGCAGTCGTCGCATGTCTTGTACATTCTGTCACATCTCTCATATTGGTCGACAAGCTGCCGAATGGGCACCCCCAGTATACACGTGAGACCCCACGATGAGTAAAGCTCTTCCTAGGAACGACATTAATCACACAGCAATAGGCCCCTCCTATCAAGCTGGCTCGTACATGCGGATCGCTCTCATATTGCGAGCTTACATCAGAAAAGGTCCGATGGATTACCATGATGCTATGATGCCGCTGCACGGTTTCATCTATACCCGAGTAATCCTGTTTGTCATCGGCATAATGGGACCATCTGATTGCCTGAAGGACAACATCAACGACCCTGTGGCCTACACTTTAGCGGTGTTTGGCGCTGCAACCATCTCCATCAGTCACATGAGCAGCCCTTGGGCGGTTACCTGGTACCTAGGAACATTCACCCTAATCGGGATCAAGAACCGTTGGAGCTCAGAACCGTATGTCTAGGCCTACGTCTTCCATTCATTGCTAACAGCAGGCGGTAGATTCATCGAAAAACAGCTTATAAAGTCTGCGCCAATTCAACTTCAAGCTAGCCGGATGAAGGAGAAAGCTTCTGAAATCGGAAATCTGCCTGCAGACCGGCTCGGACACCTCGTGATGAAGGTTCTAGCCTGCCTTGGCGTACTTTACCGCAGGTTGATGAGATATAACTCAAAATGGTATCCAGGGGCGGTATCAATGTCGCTCACTCATAACTCACTGGCTTCAAGTTTGGTACCGTCACTTGTATCGCGCGGGGTGCTATATAATACACAAAGCGTGAAGATATAGTGGGCATGATTCATCGACATGATACATGTTATTCACCCTGTACTTAGGTCAGCACAAAGCTATGATGGTCTTCTATCTCTCAATCAGTGACTCGTCGCCGGCATTTTAGGAATCTCTTACGCCGGATACCTCGAGTGTTTATAACTATAAATTCCAACTCTTACGCCTACTTCACTTTCAATGTTGATTAGTAAAATCCAGCTTAATCAGTAGTAGCATATTTCCACTCGAGGTCAACGTGCATCGGCCTCAATATAATGGGAGAAAATCAATTGTACGAAATTATTTCCTACAAGAGGGCAATACTAGAAATAGGTATCATGATTTGAGAGTTCCCGGTCTGTCTATGCGTGCATATCACCGTAGGCTCATTTCCTTTGGTGATGCCCGTGCCATTACAACGAACGGATGCTTTCAACCGAAGCCCTATAACAGAATAGATACAAAACTACCGAAAACTACTTTACGGCTCCCCATGAGCGTAAACCTTTGAATCTGAATTAAAGACCCACTATGTCAAAGAAAGTAAGAAAAATATTCCTTTTTTTTTATCTTCTTTTTTGCAACTCTATTAACTATGCCCTAAATATGAATGTGGAAGATTTTGTGACTAAACTCGAAAGCGGCTTAATTCTCGGTAGCTTTAGACCAACATAACATTTTTCTAAACGTGGCTACAAACCATGTCGACCTCTGTGCTGAAACCGACAACAGTAAAAGAATTGTCTAAGTCGGGCGACAACATATAAGAATCTATTCTCTCACGCATAGAATCAAACTCCTCATTTTTGATCTGCCTTCCCTGGTAAGCTTTTCGCTATGCTGTTGATCAATCGCCTGAATTTTGTGCTCTCGTTTTTGCCATCGGCATGGGCAAATGCCGCGGATTGCTGGTACGATTTTGCCTCCGACTCTCGAGCATTGACATATAAATGTGCGGACTATGATAATGGAGGTGTCCTCTACGTATCTTCTCTTAAGCAGAGCGATTGTCTTCGAAATGACGATGGCCAACTTCTATTCCAAAATGAGTATGTTCCAGACCATATCTGCTGGTCTTTCTATGCTGATTGAGCGAACCATTAACTTCTTTGTATATAAAGCGGAGGAGCGGCCTGTACACATTGCTTCGTACAAGCTGGCGCAACTGAGGATATTGATGGGGTGATATATACGGGGCCTTCGCGGCCCTTGAACTACCTTAAATGCTCGTGCCTCAATAAATCTGGGAGCACGAAGGCAGCCTCGATTGAATTGGGTGAGTAGAAACCTAATCACGTATATGTTCGGTTACTGTTCTGACCGTCACCTAGTCTCGGTACTTACAACCATATCTTCCTACAGTCTAGCTTGTGGTCGCACCACGGCGACTGTTTCGATATCGACCCCGGCCCCAGCGAGGTCTTCGGCAACTCCTACATGGGCAAGACGTGCCTAGTTCCTTTATTATACCAAGGTGGGCCCATGAAAATGTGCTGTGCAATGGCCTATATACAAGGAGCGTAATACGCAAATTTCCTCTGGCTCGGTCAGCGGCATAGCAGGGGAGATAGAACATTGCCGAGAAAGATCTAAGGGCCAGTTATAACAAAAGGACGAGGTGATAGGCTTTATAACTAATGTCATGAGCCGGTTCTCTACGTGAATGCCGTGGGTACTGCTAGTCGTAGGTCCTTTGGCGTCTCTCGCGGTTTGGCTTTCGTTTCCTAGGGCTTGTCTACATAACGTCAACCTCGCAATTCTGATAAGGTGTACGTGTACAGTATCTAAGTGGATTACAATGCTCTAAACGGTATGTCGGGCGAGTGTGGGCAAGTACACACACAACGCAATGACACAAGCTCAAGAGCGCTGGCAAATAAAGGCAGATTCATGTATCTTCTTTTTGCAAGGGCTTAGTTCTAAAGATTCTTTCCATCGTTTAACTCGAGGAATGATAGATTCGGAGGCATATTGTGCGATATGCCTTGACATAATGACTTTAGGTAAAATGGAGGCGCAAGGTCGGTGTGAACACAAATTTCACGACAAGTGCATCAGCGAATGGCTCAAAGGGCAGCATACGTGTCCTCTCTGCCATTAGTCGTGGCTTTAAGTCTCCCCGTACTAGACTGGTTCAATAATAAAACGAGATGCTATGGCGACCGCATATAATAGAAAACAAATAATAATAATAATAATAATAATAATAATAATAATAATAATAATAATAATAATAATAATAATAATAATAATAAAACAATTTAAAAAATTCATAAGTAAAAGCATACAACAGATAAATGACAAACAAAAAAAAGTAAAAATAGAAATAAGTAAACAGAACGGGAAATCAAAAATGGAAGTGTAAAAAGGTAAAAACAAGAAGGGAGATGTCAGCTTCTAAATTAGAAATAGCGTGTAGCTGTAGTTCCCACTCAAATCGTTACTATTGAGAGCACGTGATAAGGAGCGTCACAATTACGCGCTACTCCAGTTCGGTGAATGCTGCATTCATGCACATATGGACTGGATTCCAACACAATAGCAACGTCCCTAAGGCGCGCGGGCGGCACAGCGATGTGGAGCGGTCGTCAAAAGAACTTTGGTTCACAATGTACGATCGGGCCATGTTTGGGGGTTCAGCCGTGGATAATGATGGAGCAGTTTTTGGAATGCCGAGCCAACCAGATCTCATGAATGCCAAGAGTCTAATCTTACCCTGATTAGTGCCCCAGTATTGAGCCCAAGGCAATATCTCGCAACCCTGATGTAGCGGAAGTGCATAGGATGTGTCTGTCAGCTATGTAGCGAGTAGGTTGCTTCTCTCGAGCAAGGGCGGATATAAAGGAAATAACTCTCTTAAGGGGTACTTCGGATGGAGGTTCATGGAGTCTCTAAAAAAGAAAGTGTTTGGTTAGATGTGCATAATGGCCCACAACCGCCCCGACAGCTGGAGCTAGCAGCACATGTCACACGGGGGGTCTAGCTAGTGCCGATACACTGTTTAAGCATACGGCCGTGGCATTGCCAAACGTTCTGTGAGCATACCGACGCCGATGCAGGGGTTGGGGTATTTGCGCCCGATTGTTTTATCTGACGGGTCTAGAAATGAACTGACCGTTGAGCTGAAGGGGTGATGGCGTTGCCATCACACCTCAGATTATGCTCGGCGAGCTACATTTCTCGACCCTAATCAAGTCTTAAATTCCTCGGTCGGTATTGACACGTAGGGCGATATATAGAAAGCCGATATTCCCGAAATAGTCCGCTCCATCTCCTAATAAATATGACAAGTTGTATACTTTCAAACAACCTCACTTGAATCGGTTCTACATACAGTATGAAACCGATCCACATACTGAAACCGCCAATTTATCACGGGGATTGAACAAATGGGATAGTACGTCTCGTATCAATGCTATAGGGAGCCTTTTCTTGCTCTAGTTGCGTGTCAATTCAATAACCCCTTTATTGCTAGCTTGACTCCCAGTGCGCACTTTGTTCTTTGCGAACCGGTTAACTTGTAATTTACTGAATGCCTTTCGTCTCAAAAGTCCCTAATATTAGGGTACCTGGACATCATCATTTGAGAATTTCCACTTTGCATCCTTCAGCGCTTGAAAGGACAAGTGTCAATCGCTGCTTTTCGCTTCCGACTGGCACATTTGGCTCCCCTGTAGGCAACAAAATATGTGGAAAAGTTTGCAACATCCTCACTATTGTGTAGGAAATCTCCATCCGGGCAAAGTCTTCTCCTAAACATCGGCGGGGACCACCACTAAAAGGAAAGTAAGCCCAGCCAATTTTGGCAAGCTCATCACTTTCCCATCGTTCAGGACGGAATTCATACGCATCAGGACCATATATATTCTTCTTCCTCGAATTCACATACTGCGAAAACACCACAAGTTCACCTTTTCTTACCAACATAGGCTTATCTCCTTCTACACCGCCCCCGGTTGGTAGAACAGTGGTTCGCAGCGCTTCGCGATTATTAAGCGGAACAGGAGGATAAAGACGGAGACCTGAAGTAACGAGGAGATCAGTTGATCGTTCCGTGAGTCGAGACCCTCTGGACCTTGGGAAGATCTGAACCCACTTTCTTTGATGACAGACTTATGATATAGCATCTTCCCGATCTGGTCCCTAGTCGGCGTTGGACAGGCTTCTATGACAGAAGCAATCTCTTGTCGCAGACGGTTCATTACCCGGGGATTGCGGACAAGCAACCGGCTGTAGACAATTAGCACTTGGGGAAGCCATCTAGACTGCGATACATACAATGTCCAAGACAAGCAGCATGCCGTCGTATCCCGGCCACCAAGCAAAACATTGAGTAGCTGATCGCGGAGCTCTTCTATGCTTGATGGCTTCTCAGCAATCTGCTTTATAAATCCATATCCTTTCTTCTCGTGAATTTCAACGTTCTCCAGTTTCGACTCTTTGATATATCCCTCGACAAAGCGGTGGACGTTGGCGCACGCTTTTCGGAACTTTGGAGGGTTATAGAGGAATTGCCAAGGTGCTATGCGAAAGCGTTTGGCAAGGCCCTCTTGTGCAATATCAAAACTTTCTGCAAATAGTCTGTTCTCCTCATGCTGGTCAATACCAGCCCGCAATGTGTAGACTGATCTACCGAAAAGAAGGGCTGTTGCGATGTCTAAAGTCATGTCAAAAAATAAAGGCTGAAGATCAACCACCCCGTTCGAAGGCAGACAATTAATCAGATTGTCGACATGCTCGCGGAAGTGGTCCAAGTTCTGATATTGGACACAACTAAGTTGTTTTCGCAGAAGTTCCCTGGATTGCTGCCAGGCAATTCCCTCCTGGGTAGAAATGCCATTTCCTAACAGGGGCGCAAAAATCTTACGCCTGGCGCCAAAGCCATAGTCTGAGAGACATCTAATGAGCAAACAAATTCCTTGAATGATTGATTGGACAAGGCCTGCGGTCGAGGTTCACCTTTAAAGTTCGTGGACAAAATCGCCTTAACATTCGAAGGATGCAACACATGAAACGCTCTAGGCCCAAGTAGTAGAAACTGTGAAATATTATTCCGAGGTTCGTATTCCTCTGCTACTTTGCAGAGATATGCAAGCAGTCGGCCTTCTGCGTTTGTCTCCCAGAGGTCCTTGATGCGATCAATTCCAAGGGGCCACTTTTTAGGAAGCTCGGGCGGTAACTCGCAACCCTGTCGAGATCCCAAGGCAGAATCGTTCTAGTATACCATGAGCGACTGGTTTTTTGCAAGCTAGCTTTTACTCACACGACGATCCTTGAGTTTTGCAAAAGATAGATAACATAGTGGACCAAAGACTAATAAAAGTAGAGTTCCAACTAGAAAGATCAAGGCCATCATAGATCAAGGTCTCCCATAAATTTATGGGCGATTGCGTCGACATTTATAGCTGTCTAGTATAAGAAGAGCTTTGCCCCTTCGCACTGTACCAAAGTATAAATGACGCGAAAAACCAGACGGGCCCACTAAATTGACTAACTCTGTTTGTTATGGTCGGGCCCTGAATTGGTATTGTCAGAGATATCAACTTCTCGTGAAAAGCTCTCTAGACAAAGTATTCCCGTGTATTGAAGCCTAAAATCAAGATAGAAAATAGAAAACAGGGGAAGAAGCTGACAACAGTCATATATTGTTACTGTTGTAGCCATCGAACTCCTAGAAAAGGTAGGTGCTGTCTTGTATGGGATCCACCTAACGCATAATATGGTAGATGGTAGAAGAAAACCTTTTTATTTTTATATCTTTTATTTTTTATCTTTTATTTTTTATCTTTTATTTTTTATCTTTTATTTTTTATCTTTTATTTTTTATCTTTTATTTTTTATCTTTTTTTTATCTTTTTTTATCTTTTTTTTTTTTTTTTTTTTTTTTTTTTTTTTTTTTTTTTTACTTCGGTTTGTCGTCTGAAAGGAGCTTACCGAACATGTGCTATGATTATAAAGGTCCAAATGGGTTGTTCCCCACCCCCTGCGCGGCCGGTCACTCCGACAGAGGCTGTTCCTCTCCATTGCATTTTCAATCTGGACGTTTGTCTTTGTGGAGCAGTTGTACTTTGTTCGGGGAAATGCTGCGGTATTCGGCTTCCAACCGTCTTCCGCTATTCCTAATTGAGAGTGGCACGTAATTGTGTTAACGTATTGTGTAAGCGAGTGGAAAAGCTAGAACATCACCTTAAATGCGAAATTTGGTGATTATATATATCGACAACTAACCCTTTTTATGATTCAACATGGTGACTAGTATCTTATTGTAGTAAAATTAGATAGCTACGAGATTTTTAATAAAAATAAAATAAAATTGAAGAGATTACGGTTAAATACGGTGTATTTTTGCATTTTCATATCGAAATATATATATATCTTTGCCCTGGAGTCTCTAAATAATCCAAGGCTCCTACAATATAATTAATTTTGTTGAAATTATTACACGATGAATGACGCTACGGAAGCATGTATGTCAAGGCCAACGAGGTGGTTTAGGTCTGATCTCTCTCTCATGAGAGAGAGATCCTATTTAATGAGAAACATTTCTCATGAACTATACTCTACATGGTAGGTTCAATGCTGATCACGAGATTCATGCTTGGTGAAGCAGGCATTCCATGCCTGGAGATGCCTGGAGAAGCCATGAATCTCAACAAATTTTTTATATATAACATATCCTTAGAGTTAGCCTTCTTATTATCCCACCAGTGTGGAACTTAGACATTGTAATTTATTACCTTTAAGTGGTGTTCTAGCTGTTCACTCGCTTACTGTACATGTTCCACTCGCTTACAGAATACGTTATAGTAACTATCTATCACGATTGCCCAGTAATAAGGACAGACGTCGAAATTTTACTTTTTACTTTTTATTTATTATTTGTTATCATTTTTCTCCTTGTTATTTTGGGGGATTATATCTGGCCTCGACATCCCGCTAGCCCCGATTAGGGGTACCGGGTAAGCTCATTATTCCAAAATTCTAACTGGGATACGGTTCGGAGGCCGAGTCATTTTCAATTTTCAAATTTTTATTTTTATTTTTTATTGTGCGGCTTTTCATACCCTTGTCGTACTTGAACAATGTTACTTTTTTGCCCTCTTTTTACATTTTGTTGTTTTCATTTTGCTAGTTTTATTTATTTCTAATTATTGCTACTATTTATTTCTCAATTAACCTTGATTTATATTTCCATTATTGTTTCGATTCACGATTCGACGATTATCTTAATGATCGTTCCATTATCTTCGTTGTGATATCTTACTGTTTTCGAGGTAATATGCACCCCCAGGGCCGGTTCCACACACCGCTCATAAAAAAGATACAGGAGGACACACAATATTTACGCCAACCAAGCGGGATCAATAGGTGGACTCAAGCGAACTTTGAACGGTGGGCGACGGCTCTGACCCTGGTAGGCACGTGACTGGTGGCTTTGAAAACTGGTTACGTTGGGGTGCGTTATCTACCCTTTACCTGGCGACGTCACCTTCGATATCACGTCTTAATCTGTGCAGCACAATAGCGGCCTGGATAGTAAACTGGAAATCTTCTATGTCAGGAGTCTAAACTTCTCTCAGTCTGTTTACATCAATCATATCCTGACCGGTAACTAACAAAACCACGTTTCTTCCTGGGCCAAGTTCCTGTGATAGCTGGACAGTCTTGGCAACCGCGTGAGCTGAGTCCAGCCCCGTGGAGATTCCTTCCTGTTGTTGAAGCATTCTGAAGCCTTCCAAGGCATCTGTATCGGTAGCCGTGAAGACCTCAATGCGACCAGAGTCTTTCCATTCCGCAATCTCGGGTCCCACAGTAGATATATTCATATCTGGGGATATAGAATGCGAATCGAGAATCTGGCCGTCCTCGTCCTGTAGTAGGAGGGTGTGAGCACCATGTAGAACCCCACGCTCACCGTGGGTGATTGTAGCTGCATTGGTCGCTTCAACGCCAATCAATCGAACGGATGGGTTATTGATAAATGTGCTAAAAAGACCTACTGCCCCAGAACCGCTACCAATAGCAGTGATAACAGCATCGGGGAGAGGATCTGCTATTTCTTGGAGCTGGGCCGAGACCTCCTTCCCGAGAAGAGCCTGAAACGTACGAACCAGTCTCGGTAGGGGACTTGGACCGAGTGGGCCACCAATGAGGTAGTATGCAGTCTGATAATGAGAAACCAAATATCGCAAGGCCTCTGTGATGGCGGCTCGAAGGGTTCCTTTGCCGGAAGGTGCACGAGCAGAAATGATCCTGGCTCCGAGATCCCGCATATTCCGAACCCCTGTCGGCTGGGCGGAGATGTCATCGTCCCCCATGGCGATCACACAGCCTAGTCCTAAGCGACGGCATAGATCCGCGGTGAATATTCCATGTTTGGCAGAGGCGCAATCCGCGACAACTTCTAACCGGCCCATTCGACGGGCTAACAGAAGCTGAGCGGTAATATGACGGGCCTTGTGGGTTCCGTATTCATTTTGATCCTCACGTTTCAACCAAATGGTTGCCCCTCCCGCTTCTCGAGTCAGCTCCTGGGCTAGGTAAAGCTCGGTTGGTCGAGGTCGACAGAATTCCGAATATTCCTCCCAGAATGAGGGTTCGGAGACGATCGCCTCAAAATTCGAGGTCAGATCGCATAAGAAACCCATCATAGACTCGGGAGCAAATTGGCCCCCGTATGGTCTGGTGTTCTTGATGCAAATCTGTGGAACCTGAAAAGTTCCACTGAGTTGTGTGATAGGAAGCGGGGGTGTAGTTGACCTTATTGTCGTCGTCCTCGAGTTGGAAAATATTGGACAAGAACCAGTGGCAGTCGACGGTGTCGTGCCTTGATTTTCCTCTGAAGGTGGAATCGCCGAATGTGCCCTTACGGCACGATCTGAACAGGAAGTCGAAAAATGAGGCTGGGAGGTAATATACCTTTGCACAGAAGGAGTTGAGACGCATACAAGGGGCCCTCCGGAGGTATGTGCTATCTTATCGATATCTATACCAGAATCGGCCGGGGCATCGACTTGCGAGAACAGATTGTCCCGTAGAGGGAGTAGAGATGGGAGCATGATGAATATATTTCTCCAGAAACTCCACCATATGTTCAAACGAGGTAAGCTCGACCCGGATAAGACAAGCGAAATCTGAGGATCAACCTTCCGCTGAGAAGATATAGGCAACGTCTGGGGCTGGGGGCGACGCCTTAGATGCCGATTCGGAGCATCTCCCTTTGTGTCCAGTGAGCTGACATCATTCACCAGTGTATCACTACGCCGAGACCAACAACGTAATTCCTGATATGAGCATAAAACTCCATTTATCACTACTCTGGACGCACGGATTACTGAGGAGACAAGACAGGTCAGATCTTGTCATTCATTCCCATAGCACGGAAGATATCATTCCTGAAGACAGGGGTATGTAAAGATCAGTCTGCGGATGTGGGTGGAGGAATTACGGTGCAAGTATGAGCACATGGAATACGGAATATAGAGTGAGCCGTCGACAGGTTTGGCTGACTATTTCATCAAGGCTGTGACGCACAAAAGGCTTTCGCTTTCCTTGCCGTCTACATGGCTAGACACAAGTCCGAGGAGAGACATACGGCCGCTCCGGAAGACGTTGTGGGTCTTCACTCGTCTGTTTTAGGGGAGAGAGCCAAAATTTCTAACCTACCTTGGGACAGTCGGAACAGCGTTTTGGTAATGGTACCTTTTTAATATGCACCTCAGGAGAAATATCGGTTGCATGCGAGAGAATAATCGCTAGGCCAGTGAGATAAATATGCCGACTCGAAAGAGCCTGACAGTGATGTCGCTGAAGGCTCAAACGATATTTGCTTATCAAAGCAGCCCATAGATCCTGGTATTAAAGAAGCGATAGCAAGAGATAAAGACCAAAGAGTAACTATGTTCAAACATTGAAGGTGGAACATGGGAACCCTCATAATATATCAAGGAGGTCATATTAGTGAACTCGAGTATCTTGCGCCTCTTGGGGATAAAGCGGAATATGATCATTATACACATTATAATCGCGTAGGATCTGCGGATATTTCTTCCCCTTGGTGCGCTTCCGGCAGGATTGACAGCCACAATAGCCACAGCCATGGCAGCAGAGTACCTTGCCGATACCACTGGAGTGGATATGTCGAAACGAAAGAACTTATGCAGTGTTCTTAGCAAATCCAGAGAAATAATTAAGAAAGCCTATCTAGGAAGTCTACTTCGGCTCACTGCCCTACCTAACCCAAAGATTTCCAACGCGACTTTGGTGGAAGGTTTGAATTGGCAGGGCACCAAACATAGGATTTAATTCCATACTCTGGCGTTCCAAAGAAAATATGGTCATATTCTATACCTAGTGTATATGACCTATTAATGAGCGTATGCCCGCGAACAACAGTCCATAAATAAACCAAACTAAGAGGCTATATTAGGGAGATACCTAAGCTGTTATAAGGGCATACCAATCTACCCTGACGTGTTTCAGTATCTTCATATAACTGAAACCCGAGATGGTGGTTTTGGTTATCAATCACGAGAGCAAAATGTTCAAATGGACCATGGAGTACCCAGAAAGTGGACGTGCCACGATATCCTGCGAGCCAAAATCACCAAGCAGTGGGCATCGCCCTACTGATTCACAGCTAAAGGATCTAACGGAGCGGGTGGATAAAGCTATACTTGAAGGAACAAGTACTGACGACGACCAAACTCTACATTCGAGGCTGCAAGAAGAACTATCGAATGTTGATTCTGCACATCTCGTGCGAAAAGCGGGCTGACCTGAGTTCTTTTGAATGCCTTACATCTTTTATGGCTGTGCATTATGTCTGGCTTTTTCCCAATGATTAATTAGGAACGTTGATATTGAGATTCTTCTGCTCTTTGCATTTGGGTGGTGAGAGCTGTAATTGCCGTTATCCAAATCATTTTGCTCGGATATATGTTCTGTATTGATTATATCGTGTCTGAAATGGGTATTTCTTCCAGTCTGGCGACAAGGCTGGTCCAGTGGATATATGCAATATGTATAGGGTCGATAACGGTTGAAAATGGGGCCTGATATTAGAATCCTCCGTGCTGAATAGGGCCATATGCTTTGACGTGAAGGAGCCCCTCATGTGAATATTGATTCTAAGCTCTCGCGCTTTGTGATTTAGAGCAAGGGAACCTATAGAAATGGACCTAGGAAAGGCACCATACAATTCTTCGCTATTTATAGCGTAGAAACAGTCCACTGTTTCCAGTGTTATTTACTGGGCTTTGTCCTTCTCCTAGCATAGTCTTTTTCCCAGCTGACGTTGGACGGCTGTCTTCGTGTAGTTACCACCTACAAACATCACACTTGATGGGCCCATCACATCCACAGGCCTGCCTCCCGTGGACATTCAATATTCCTTGGGAGATTAAAACCTCAGAATATCCGAGTCTCTTGTATGCCTTTGCTAGCGTCGAAATCTTTTAACGAGGCTTTCCTACCTTTTAAAGTCTTTATTGGGCAATGGACACATAGATCACAAAGCCGTGACTCGCCGAAATGATGCACCTATTGTATTGGGTATAAGAAAGCAGGCCACACGAGGAGTTCGAGGTCCAAAATTCGTCTCGGCATTGTCTCCAATTTCAGAGGAGGCTCGTGTCGGTACGTGGGTCTAGACCACGTATAGATATTGTAGTGTTGGAACCCGTGACTGTACAGTAGCGACCGCTATTGCCTTCCATGTCAGGTACAGAGGGATTCTCTTTCAAACCCTAGTCACATGATACGCTAAACTTCATATTAGACCTCGCCAAACGCGGGTTTGGGGCGGGTTGTCGCTTTCTCCTACCCGCCCACGGGTAACCCGCGCGGGTTTTGGCCTTCATGAACCCGCCCGTGGGTTCTTGGCGGGTACCCGTGGGTTACCCATATAACCCACCAAAATGCATAATAAGTGAACAAAAGTGTATTAGTCAGTAGTGGTAATATTGGTAATTTAATTTTGTCACAACTTTATATGGGAGATACCGTCTCATGAAATGTCTCACCACCTCAATAATATATATATTATATATGTACAGGCAATTGTCCAGCCAGAGCGCGCTCTCCGAACACTTTTGCATCCCAGCGTTGGCACTAAGAACATCCATCGACCCTTATTGATATCAAGCCTCTCGAGGACACTTTAAGCTATAATATCCAGAAAAATGATTGACCAGCCAGTGAAGAAGCATCCTCGCCATCGTTTTACTGTCGCACGAGTTTTGGGTACCCGTGGGTTTAGGGTACCCGCGGGTTGACGCGACCCACTATCTCATACAAAAAACCACCGCGACGCGTTGGGAAAAAAATCACTCTGATCCCACGAAAATTCCAATTCTTGGAACTCCAACGAGCTTGAGCTATGAGCATCGAATCTCCAAAAGCCATGTCCTCGCGGTCAATTCATCGGTCTTTGAGCCCCTTGCTCTCCATTGAGCCATCATCAGATGTTTCCATGGACTCGGACTTCCAGTCCTCGGTACGATACTCTCAAAATCGCAGATTAATTCAACAACTCAGAGACGCAAGCACATACTAACCAGTTAGCCTTTCACTGGCTCCCGACGTAGCGTCGATAGTCCCGCTCAACAACCTCCAACGATACTTCGACGCGTCGGACCGGACCGCAGAAAGAACTGGATATTGTACGAGCCTGAACATTCCAGCAGTTTTTTGACTTGGTGGCAAAAAACAGAATATGGTCAAGTGCTGAATGGCGACGGACGGTCTAAAATAAAGTGGTCGATGGAGTCACATTACGCTGAAGTTTGGAAGCATTTCGACCAAGTTGCGGGCATTGAAACTGGCATTCCCAAAGTGATCTGTAGGGCTTGCTTGACCCTACTTGATCATCCACAGCACAAAAAGCACGGCACAAGCGCAATGGGAAAGCACCAGAGATCCAAGTCCTGTCGAAAGGGCCAGAAAAGAACATGCCATCAAGCTCTCGTGTCAAACTCAATCCAGAAAGCCTTCTTGGGAGTACCATCCGGTCCGAACAAGTTCACCACATCGCAGTTCGAGGAGCGGCTGCTGAGGACCATTGCTTGTCTTCGTCTGCCCTTCCAGACCGTTGAAAACCCTGAATTTCAAGCACTCCTCAAGTTCATCCACCTCGGACCGGGAGAGCTAGAAATGCCTTCAGCAAAAACCTTGCGACGACGCCTGCGTGACGCTGTAAGAGGACAACAGGAATCACAGTTGCGAGATCTACCCGAAGACGCCAAAGTTTCACTTGCATTAGATTGTTGGACTAGTCCCTTCCAGCAAGCATTCATGGCAATTACAGTCTACTTCATCGATAGAGATTGGAACTACCGCGAGCTGCTTCTTGGGTTTGAGCCTTTGCATGGACCTCACACAGGAGTCAATTTGAGCGACGTGCTCCTCCAGCTGCTCAGAGAAAGACAGCTATTGGGTCGTATCTTCAGCGTTACCACGGATAATGCAACAAATAATGAAACCCTCATCCGAGCGCTGCAAGAATCACTCATTTCTAGTGGCGCCATCGGCTCGAGAGAATCCATTGTCCGTGTTCCATGCATGGCCCATGTGATTCAGCTTTGCCTCAAGCAGCTGTTGGGGCATATCAGAGCTGCTCCCAAGAATAAAGAAGTGAGAAGTTTTTGGTCCAATTCACAAGCTCTTTGTCTCAGGGACTCAGTGGACCATGGTGAGGTGGCGCATACTCTAGCAAAGGCGAGTCCGTTGATTTCGGACCCGTCATATTTGGACATTGCTGACGGTGCCTCTTCCACAGATTCGGTCCTTTGCAGTTTTTGTCAACGCCAGCCCCCAGCGGCGAGATGCATTCCTGTGCCTCCAATCTGGTGGAATGCGACTTTTCCCGTTGCATGATGTTCAGACCCGCTGGAATTCCACCTTCTTGATGCTTCGACGAGCGCGCCGACTAAGGAATACCATCGACAAATACTGCCGAGACCATGACTATTCACAATTTAAAATCACTGACATTGAATGGCGGCAAATTGACTATCTTGTTCACTTGACGAAGCCGTTCTTTCAGTTCACCATGGCCCTG